TAATGAAGAATAATAATTTGAGATTTTTATTTTTATTTTTAAACAAAAAATTATTTATTTTCTTCTATAGACTTAATTATTTTGGAATGAAATAATATTAAGAATTTAAATAAATAAATAAGTATTTTTAACAACAAATAAAATAATTAACTAATTAGTAAATAATTCAATATAATTAAATCGAGGTTAAGAGTATTGGTAGACCAAAAGATTGAAGGAGGGGTATCTTTGAATTAAAAACAAAGGTTTATGGTATTTTTAGACCAAAAGGTAGGGAGGGGGGGAGGGTTATTTTTGAGCCATTTCCAATAGGTTCTTCTAATGACCCGCTAGGTCGTTTTGAGAACTAGGACTATTTTGACTTTTTCCGAAACTTTTGAATGGAAAATTTTAAATTATTTAGTAACTACGAGTAATTAGTTGACGAATATTTAGCAAATAATTAATACAGTTAATAGTTAGTGGGCCAAGTCCATAACCACTTCATTTAATACCCTTTACCCTTGACCCATGTAATTAAAATATGTTAGTGGAGTCAGTTTAGAGAAAAAAAAGGAGAACAAAAGAGAAGAGAACTGTCAAGACGGAAACAAAGAAACCTACGAATTTAGTTGAGGATCGCTTCAGGTAACTCCTTTTGATCTTTTTTTCTTCTTCTTTCAACAATGGGATATTTAATTTGTTAGGTGAGAATGAATACATTAGCGAATTATTAATTGCTTGCTATTTGTAGTTTAGCGTTAAGACTCAAATTAGTGGAGAATGTTGAATTGATGGTTAGTTAATGAGTGATAATTATTAGCTAATGATTAGATAATGATTGGAAGGTTATTAAATGGAAAATCAAGATACGTTGGGGGTTGGGTTCAATTGTTGGTTTCATAATTAAGGTGCAGGTTATAGTTGAGTGAGAATTTTGAATTTCTTGCCACTGTTTTTGGATTTTTATACTAGCTTTAGACTATAATTGTAACTCCTTGTTTGGTAGGATAAAGCAAATCATAATATGAATATTTTTATGAAATTAATATTTAATTAGAGTGGGTGAGTGCTAAAATTTGTGGGCAGTAGGATGTGCTAATGTTGGCTAATGATATTGATTATGTGACTTAGGGTTAAAAAGAAAAGGAAATAAAAAGGGTGTCAAGGTTTGGATGTGTCCTCTTGTTGTTGCCACTGGAACGTAAGTTTTCCTTGGGATAAGATGACGATTACTTAGGAATTTTTCAATTTGGTGGAACCGGTTGTGTCGACCTTTTCTTTTTTCTTATTATCCTGCTAGATTTATGAAATTGTTTGTCAAAATGAGACTTAATCCTAGGCTTAATCTAGGAGCTTGGTTAGAGATATGAGTGAGTTTTGGGTCTAGGATAGGCATATAATAATTTGGGTGTCTATGAACTCGCGTGCTTACAAATAATGCATGATTGGTAGATTGGGAATGTTCTGAAGCTTTGCGAAAAGGGAAGGAAAAATCTTGAGGATTTGTGGTACGTGTTCGGCATTCAAGGTATGTTAAGACTTTTAGACTTCGTTGGACGACGTTTTCCTAACTTAAAGATTTTAAAAAATGGAATAGACAATGGGTAAGGGTGAAAGATGAGAGTCTCGTACCAATGATGTGACGGGCATTGGTATGAGTACCCGTGTTATAAAGGGAAAGTCTATTAATATAGAATGCGGATTTTAATCCGAGAATGCCAAAGCATATGGGCATTAGCTGATATATTATTGACTGATTATTTGTGTGATTGTGTTCTTATTTGAACCCGTATACTTGTGATGGTTGAAGTGGTTATGTAGTATGTTGATACTTGATTGATTGAGATGCATTATCATCCCCTTTATTTGAGATTATATTGTGCACATGCATTGACATGAGATTGAGTATAAGTTGGGCACGTGGAGATCGTCCGTGCTGGGGATGGTGAGATGCTAAGATTTTATTTTGGGCACGTGGAGACCGTCCGTGTGGAAATTATTTGATTTTATGATAGTGCGTTGAGATTGTCCGCACAGACACGTGGAGATCGTCCGTGTCGGTATATGGACCTCTCGAGTCCCCCATGGGTCATGAACTCTCGATGTTTTTCCGAGGAATATCATGTATATACGGTTGAGAGAGTACTTGGTATTCTGAGGCATATCATTCCATGGTGTCATATTGCATTGCATCTCATGTCATCCTTCATTCTTGATGATTATGTGTTTTATTGATGGTTGGAAAGTACTTGTTATTTGATTACCTATATTTGATGAAACTTGACTCGTAATTATAATATAGACTTGTATAAATAAATAACATATTTTCCTTATATGAACTCCCGTCACTACTTCTTCGTTGTCGGTCTATGAGATATACTAGGTACAAGTGGTTTCGTACTCATACTACATTTGTTGCACTCTTTTGTGGTGCAGATTCGATTTCGAGTACGAGCACATCTCGTGGAGTTGTTTGAGTCCGAGTTTGGAGTAATTTGGAGTTGTGGTGAGCTGCTTGGCTGTTCCGTGGCCCACAACTTCCTCTACCTTTTATTTATTCTGTTATTTAGTATTCAGACAGAATATCCCTTATGTTTGGATTTGTCCTTTAGTTTCTGACTTGCATCATATTTAGAGGCTCTTGTACTTATGACACCAATTCTTGGGGTGGTATTTTAGCTTTCCGCATTTCATATTTGTAAAGAACTCAATGTTGGAGATTTTTACTTAGTGTTTACCTTTTACCTCTTAGTTAGCTAATTAGAATTGGTAAATATGTTTGATTGGCTTACCTATTCGTTGGGAACATAGGTGCCATCACGACTTGTGAATTTGGGTCGTGACAGTTCTTGACCCTTTCCCCTTGTTTTATTGATTAACATTATAGGTACAAATTTGTTCCTCCCTTGATTTTTCTCTCTCTTAAGATTTCACCATGATTCGAGGGCCCTTAGTGACTTATTTTTCGAATTAGGATGATATGGAGTTAATATCTTTATGAATGTTCCATGAATGTGTGGAATATTCGAGATGTCTCTTCAAAGGGAATATAATACCCTTTATATAGGCATAAACTAGGGTTTAGGGTTGATAGTAGCATTCAAGAACCCTAATTGAAATTGAACTCGTCTTGTATAGTCCAATTATAATTGAACACGTCTTGTAAAATTCCATAAAATTTCAATGTCTACAAATGCCCTCTGCTTCAAGGCATGTCGGACCCTAATTGGAATTGAACATGTCTTGTAGAGTCCAATTAGAATTGAACACATCAATTGTAGAATCCCATAAAATTTCAATGTTTACCGTATCAAGCAGATAAGTTAGGCTGAATTTGAATGGATCAAAATAAGCTAAATTAACTAGAGAAATTTTCATAAAACACGTTACTATTATTGTTGATTACTCAATGAAATGATAGTTTCAACAATTATATAAGTTGTTTGAGATTACTTCTGAATACATGTATCTAACGCGTCATGCCACTATATCTGAGATATATTATCTCTCTCCCACACCTCTCTTCCTCTCTCCTTCTCTGTGTCTGTGTTTTACAATGTATGTGCTTCACAATTTAATGTTTTTGTGTATCCAATATCAAATTCTACAAGTGTATTCGATAAAATATGAAAGCATGTATGTAACTATATATGTGTAAGCTTGTGTCATTTACTACGATTGTACCTTTGTATATAATATCAATTTTGAAAGAATGTATATAACTATATATGTATAGACTTGTATCAATTTTATCCAGTGTATCCAATATCAAATTTATTCAGTGTATCCAATATCAAATTCATCTAGTGCATGTTTATGATATCAATTTCATCTTATGTATACAATATCAAATATTTAGTGTATTTAATACTGTATTAGATTCACTATCTATGTATTGATATATCTGTGTGTCCAATATATATATGCCTAAAACATACTTAGAAGAAGAGGATAGAGATGCGCTGATACACATATGTATCTCCTCAAATATCCAATGTATTTTTCAAAAGATCGATGAGAGAGGAGAGGGGAGAGTAAGGAGAGTAACGAGCGAGAGAGAGTGGAGAGAAGGAAGAGAGTAGCGAATTTTAGGAGGATACAAACTATGAATAGGTTTTGTAATTTGTAAAATTATAGCTAAGTTGACTAAATATACTAGATATGTTTGCTAAGTTATGTAGTTTTTCTAGTTAATTAAATGGACAAGTTATTGACTGAGTTACTTAGGTGTAAATGAGTTCGGCTCAAATGTGGGTCATTTATTTTTTTTGTTCTTTTAGAAATTTTTAGTACCTAATAAAATTGGTTTTTATTTATTATGACTATATATTAATATTAATAAAAAAGTCTTTTAAAATAAATTTTGATTAGAATTCTTTTGGATCAATTTGAGTTATATATCAACACAATTTTTAATGAACTAAAATGATTTGGGCTAATAAATCAACGAGTTATTATGAATTAAGTGGATCAAATTTTCATGAGCTGGTTTTATGAACTCTCATGGAGTTTGAAACTCGGTTAATTTAGCAAGTAAGCATATTGAAATTGTAAAATAGTACTAAACGAAAAAGTACAACATATGTGGAATGGAAAAATCTTTTTTGCTAGAAAATTTGGTCAGAATTTGGTTAGAATGGTATTTTATCGATGTTATTTTATTTTTTGAATATTTTTACCCTTTTAACTTTAATACCTTTTAATTAAAAAATGGAAAAAAGATCAGTTTATTTTAAAATAAAATAGATATTATACACTTGTAAAAATTTTTGGACAAATTCTGGCCAATTTTTTTGGCAATTTAGCATTACTATGTGGAATAGTATTTGCTTTTCATTGGTGGACTTGGAACTTGGGAATATTTAAAGAAAACATTGGGGAAAAGCCAAGAGCAACTTTCCCATCTCACCAACCAATTTCATGAAAATGACCAACTTATATTGGCCAAAATTAGTCTACATTTTGACCACCTATGAATTTGCTATATATACTCCATATCCTTTGGGTTACTCAACATCATCCTTAGCAACTCAGCTTCTTTTCTTCACCAGCAAACTTATCAAAATGGCTTTTGCTAATGGACAAGTATTTCTCTTACTTGCAGTATTGTTCTCATCCATGTTTGCCATTGGATTAGCCAACTATGACTTCAATTGGGGTCCTACAACATGGAACAAAACCAATTGCCCTTATTCTCATCCCCCAAATGCTACTCAGACCTCCAATAGATTCATCGTTGGAGGTTCGGAAAATTGGCATTATGGCTTCAACTACATGGATTGGGCTCGAAACAATGGTCCGTTCTTTGTTAATGACACCTTAGGTATATCTCTCGTTTTTAAGTTTCTACTTTTAGTGCATTTGTGCTTTATCATGTCATTTACATAAATTTGACAATGTAGCTAAAGGGGTTCAATTGAATTTATTAAGTTAAATAAAATATATGTAGTGTGCATTTTCTTAACATTACTTAATGCATCAAATATTGTTATATTTCGATTTTCTCATGAGGGGAATTTCTAGTGTTGTGGCAAAAAATTCGTCCCACTAGATTTTTTTTTTAAAGTGTTATTTAATTATGAGTATATTTATACGAAGTTCTATTCCTTAAAACAAAATAAATAGTGGATGCAATAGTATCATTCTCTCTCCCCCTCTCTCTATATATAAATAGTGGCTATACCCCTCTCTCTCTATATATATATTGACTTAAGTTCTGATCATTTCACTTTTATATATTTGTGGCATGCAGTGTTCAAGTATGATCCACCAAATGTAAATGGTACTGGATTTCCACACAGTGTTTATTTATTCTCAAATTATCGGAGCTTCATTAAGTGCGACTTGAGGAGAGCTAAAAGGATAGCAGATCCAAGTCAAGGTACAGGGGAAGGATTTGAGTTTGTGTTAAAGAAAATGCAGACTTACTATTTTGGTTGTGGAGAACACAAAGGAATTCATTGCAAGACAGGGAACATGAAGTTTGCTGTGATGCCTCTCAAACATTGGCATTTCTAAATTAAACAGGAGCAGCATGTTGTGTCTATGCCTTAGAATTTGGAAGATGCATATTGATTAATTACACTTTTTATTTTTATGATTTTTGTGTTTTACTTGAATAAATTTAAGCTAAACATGAGTTGATTTTAATTAGTGTATATTTCTTATTTCAATAAAAATATAGTACTTGGGAGTTTTGGAATACTAGATATTTTTTTATTAATGCTTCGGATTATTTTATGAATCTTCAAGTTTATTTAATTTGTACCTCCAAAGATTTAAGCAAGCAAATCATATCCATAGAGTTTCTCATAGTCAATATCTAGCCTTTTCTCGTAGCCTTTAACCACTAGTCTTGCCTTGTATCTCTTCACATCTCCATAAATACTCTGTTCATTCAAACTGTTTTATGACTCTTAGAAAGTATTGTTAATTATTTTCAAGCGTAGTTCTTCTCTATTATCGTAATATCCTTCTCTATGGATTATCCCCACCTTATTTTTGTAACGATTTCCTCAAAGTTCATCCTCCTTTGGTGATTCACAGTTTTGCCGCCTTTCATCTGAACTTTTTTGATGAAAAAAAGTCAATGCAACATTGGTAGGAGTAGGAGGTGGAGTTGCATCCTGCACAAGTGTCATGAACTCATGATTTCCTGTTCCTCTTTATCTCCAAAGCATGAAAAAAAATTATATGGTGTTTCATTCTAAGCCTCCCAATTTGATGTTGCTTCTTTACCAAATTCAACATCATGACTCACCATCACTTTGTTGTTGCTTGGGTTGTAAAATATGCTGCCTATTAAACTCATGTCACAATCAACAACTACATGCTTGATACTTCGATCATCAAGCTAAGTTCTCTCTTGTCGTGGCATATGCGTATATAAGTTATGCATTCAAAGATTCTCAAGTGCTTGACAGTTGACTTTCTTCCTTTCAAAAGGCCTACAATTCTTTGCACATATTTTTAATTGCTTGTTTTTTTCTATCATCGTATTGCATGGTGGCATGACTCATGATATTTATATTAATGAATAAAATTACAAAGCTAAGGGAGCTTAAACTCGACCTACTATTCTAGATTTCAACCAATAACTTCTTCAAAAAATTGAGGTTTAGGTAAAAATTTTTACAAGTTTTGCACAAATATACAAGTCCAGCATGATAGGAAAAAATAGCTATAACATTTCAATTGGATCAATTCTATACAAAAAATAATCTTTCTCTGCTTATGCCTTATGGACTCCATTTATATGAGATCAAGTTGTAAGAATACGCACAATGAAAGCATTCACCAAGATCACGAATTACATAATAACTATATTTCTTTTCAGTAAATGATACATTCCTCTTCCCTCAACATGCCCTTTTATACCCACAGAAATTGGCATACCAACTTCAGCCGTTAGGGCAATTTAAGAGCAACAATTAAGAGATAATCAAGAGGCATAAAGAACCAATAAAACCAAAAACATTTTCCTTAGTAATCAACAAAACGTTTTGGTCTTAATGTTCAAGAATTTGAAATTCAAATGCTTTTATGGCAGAAGACTAGTAAATATATTACTTATTCTATACTGCTCTTTTTATCTTTTCCCAAATTCGGTTAATTATCCGGGCATAGTAAGGATCGCAGACTCATTAAATGAGGCGTCTAATTATGATATTGATTCGAAAATGAATGAATTATCATATCACAATAAATTACAAATTATTCCACTAAGAATCTGTATTTGCACTCCTCGATTTAGTTTCAGAATCTACCATCACATCTGATTTAATTCCCCATATTAGAATAACCGACACCAATAAATTAAATCAAACATTTGAAAATTTTAATCTATCGATTAATTTAATCCTTTATTTTTATGATTATATTATTTCATGTGACGGATAAATAATCCACCTGCAGGGTTTTCATTTGACAACTTATAAGCAATCATAAAGAGGTGTCTTCTTTCTCATGACCGACATATAGTTCTATCAACTAATTATTATTTCACGAATGTAATTTGTCATTTTTCAATCCATTAGGAATATTTTGACTCATCATAGAGTCTCACCTTTTAATAGATTAAAATGATAAAATAAACTACACAAATCATAATAATTATAGCAAGATTAAGAGTATAAGTACATGTAACGTGTCACGCCCCAAGCCTACACCGTGGACCCGATTAGAACTCGTGAACCATTTGTTGTGCCGTAATTTAACTATTTCTAGAAAAATCACTTTTTGAAATGTTCTAAGTATAAAACAATTTGAGAAAAATACTTAGAAAAGAGTCGCCACTTAATTTTTAAAGAAATTAAGAAAACTTATAATTTTCAAAGATTTAAACAGAAAAAATCATTTGAAAATACCAAAGAAGGTTCGGGGTTCAATTTACACTTCGAGAAGGGTTTAAGCATTCGAAGTGCCCGCTAACATGCGGTTGACCTGCGACTTGACTAAAATATATTTTGACTATTTTTAGGAAAATGGTTTAACATAAAAGAAAATATCATAATTTACAATATTCAATTAACTCTGAAGAATAGTTAAATAACGAACATTTTATATTTCATTTTTACTTTTTTAGAGAATGAGATCCAAAATGAAACATTTGAATTAAATTACAAGTGATTAGAATATTAATATAAAACTAGATTAATTAGAATTTATTTAATTTATTTTAAACCAATGTAATAAATTAAAACATGAAAATCATTTCTTATTAATTGACTAAACCTTTTGAGAAAATGACTAAGTATTTATAATAATATTTTACATTATTATATTATCTTTGAAAAAATAGTTAAACAAAGAGCAAATTTTTTATTTTTTAAGAAAATGGGACCCTAATTGAAACATTTGAATTAGAGACAAGTAATTAGAATTTTAACGAAACTAAATTAATTGGTTTCCATTTGAGTCATTTTTTGATTTATGAAAAAAAAACTGTTTTAAACTAAATAAAAATTTTGTTTGACTAAAGTTTATAAATGAAAATGCGAGAGTTGATAAAATGAGATTTGTTAGAAATTAAACAACACAGAGAAATAGTTTGTTTTTTGGGGAATTCGATTAAGTTAATTAATGATTCTAAAGTTAGAGTTAATGATAATTAAAAACAAACAATAAATAAAAACAATTAAATAATTTAAAAGTAAAGGAGAAATGAATTTGGGCCAAATTCGCTGCCACTATTGGGCTTAACCCAATTCCCGTTTTTGTATACACTTGATGTATATCAGTGTATATCGGCGTGTGTATAGGTGTTTTTCATGTATATCTTGCTTCCAAACACCCGTTTTTCACCTCATCTTTGTATTTTCGCATTTTTTGGCCTGTGTTTGCTGTACCAAACTTGTATATCACCGTATACAGATGTATACAACGTGTATACAACCCATCTTAAAACTTTCCGGGCACCTGAAATCTGAACTTCCAGCCCATGTTTTTGCATCTCATCGTATTTGTGGTAATCAGGCTGACTCAAACGATGAAAAGAAATTTGAGCCTCTATGGCTCAACTCGATAATGCAAGGAAAGGCAAGTCCATCACGGACTCGGAAGGGATTCATACAACAAACAAAAGAAACAAAATTAGCATAAATAAGGGAAAGATGTATTTTTGACAAGCAATATATTAATACCCATATTGGTAACAATCAAAATGTGAGCTTATCAACTCTCTTTTTTACAGAAATAGTAGCAACATATGAATAGGGATGTTAATTGAACTATTCAATATTACTACAATAAGGCATAAAAAATTGAGTACTTTAGTAGGAAAGGTTAAAAACACTTCGAATTAACTAACATGCTAAAACAAATATTCATCTCCGTGTATTAGACCCCAAGGAACACCCCAATTATTTTTCAAAGTATTTTCAGCTTGAGGAACAAATACAAGGTAACTATTAGATTCAAAAATAAAAATAAAATTTAGTCAATAAGCAGAGACATGCATGAATTATTAAAGCAGGAACTAAACACTTAAAATGAATCATTTGTTGTTGTCAACTGAAAGGGAATTAAGCCAAAAATATCATGTAAACAATACTAGATAAGCAAGGTGCTAAGTTGAAGCATGTCATTGTATGTTCTAGGGGGGCATTTGAACAATCTCTAATGTAATATAATTTTATTTTTTTTACCCATTTCAATAAATTCTCTAAGCATAAATATGTTACAAAAAGATATAAATTCAATCAATTAGAGTGTAATAGACTAACAAGCATATATATATTCACAACAGTCAACAAAATGCATAAAGGAGAAGAAACTCAACTTAACACACATTTGCTAGTTGCTAGGCCTTAAATATCTAAACAACATAGTACTTATAAGGATGACTTGTAGGGATTCATTTAGACGAATATTTAGGCAAGACTTCATCTTTAAAGGAACTCATAATGAATATGACAACCAACATATAACTTAAATAAATAAATAAAAGTTCTAGGCAAATGACTCATACTAAAGATGCACAAGAAAACAAGTTGTCATTTTAGCTACAATATTCCTGCTTTGGTCATATCTGGAGAAAACAACAATCACATAGAACTAGCATTGATCAAAACAAAAAAAAAACGAAATCTTTAGACGCCATAATCAAAATATTGAATTAATTTTAAACTATGAATTATACACAAACCAAGCATACATAAAGGTCCAATTACAATATACAAATACTCTAAGCCCCGCTTGATCATATAAGCAACATAAGAAAGTAGAGAAACGAAATATTACCTCTTTCTGAGCAGCGAGACTGAAACGACGAGTTAGAAGCGATTCCACCACCACCAATGAAGCCGGTGGTTTCGAAAGGAAAACTTATAACTCAAAAATCAAAACTTGTTTTTTTTTACTATAGTAACCAATTTTTCATGAAGCTTTTTTCTGTCTCTTTTTTTTCTTTCTTTCTCCCCTTTTTTTTTTTTTTTTTTTCACATCGAGAAAAAGATCTTAAATAGATGAAGAAAAGGGCTGATTTGAGAGGGAAAACGGATTGAATTTTTTTTTTGAAATTCAAAATCTTTGCTTGCTCTTTCAAGTCAACAATAGAAGGGATGGGAAATTCTGAAATTGTTGAAAAAAGGGACGCGGCTGGTGTGACGGATCTGCTTATTTAC